AATTTTGTTTGGTTGCAAAGCTACCAAATAGAAAATTAGACCCCTCCTGCTACACCCACCTGTCACATCCTCTCTTTCAGAATTTGTTGACAGTTCTCTCTTACGTCAAGTTTTTATCTATCAAATGACATATTGTATAACGTTATGTTCTGAACAGTTAGATGTCAGTTTCACTCAGAGTACCAACATCGTTCCCATGGGAAAGTTAACGACTAGCTTGGATGAATTTGTAACAGCTCTTATCGCATAGTTAGAAAGCCAGTTAGAAAACCAGTTAGAGAGGTAAGGGAATTTGTCTACTTTTTGTATGTTATTAGTCTATATTCTTTGGTGCATTATTTAATTAAATTAAAATTATTAAGTGCATTACTAGCATTAGTATAAAAAATTAGTTTAACTGTCATCGACAATCAAGAACAACAAAAAAGAAGATTGGGTAAGTACTTTAATTCTTGTTTTTCATATTTATTATTATAAAAGTGACTAAAAGCTAAAAATACAGATCTTTTTAAGTTATTTAAGACAAGATTAGGTAAAATAAGTAATAATAATAATAATAATATAATTAAAATGGTTCATGAGATGCACACACAAGCAGCTTGTGGGTAATGTAATTCGATAGAATAGCATGACCTGCACATTCTCCAAGTGATTCACAATTCATAATGGCGTGGATAGTAGTTAGACACCGTTCAAAGGGCAATAAAACAATAAAATTTAGTTATGAATAGATGTATACTGTTACGAACTTAGAGCTACTTAGGATAAACGAATGTAGTTTTATGTTACAATTTGAAGTTAATCTAGAAAGAAAAAAATGGTAATTTACGTTTATTTTGATTTTTTTTTGGTGGTTACGAGGTCGGTCAAATTGACTGATCCAGTTTTGAGATAGGGTAGAGAAAATAACAGATAAACTATAAAGTTTTACTGAAAAAAAAAACGTTTTAAATGCATTTGAGATGAAGAAAAGTATAATTAATTTGAACATGGAAATTACTTTGCACATGGACTATTCAAAACAAATATTCAATATATTGATGGACAGATCTTTATTTTGCTTAACTAAAAATACTTTGCTAAATACATATGTTTTTGTATGTGAAAGACTTATAATATTAACTGAAAGAGTGCCAAATTTTGTGAAGATATACACATATATTGAAAGTTAGAAATATTAAATCTATAATGAGGTCACGAGGTCAGTCAAACTGACCGAGACCGTGTTGATAAAATTAATTGATTTTTAGACATAAAGAATGGAATATTTTTTCTATCAAGGTTTTTAGAGCCATAAAAAAATTTACTGCAAGCTGCAATTTGGCTACCTCTGTTGTGCACATATAGTTAAATCGACTTAAAAGCATTCATTAATTTAATTCTCTTCCCCTCCCCCAAAAGACTACATAGTGCCTCAAACAGAAATAAAAGGGAACAATAAGTTACTGAATTATTAAATTGGAAAAGTAAATCAATATTACAAGTTTTTGATTGCAAAGACATAAAATCATCATTGCACAAAAAAAACTTACCCTTGTGGTTATTGGGAACTGGATGTCTATGTTCTGCTTGTACTCAAAGCTAATAAACAAAAACAGACTTATCAAAAGGAGATAACAATTGTAAAGCTTTTAAATATACTCAAAAATTATAATAAATAAGAAAAAATGATGTGGTGTTATAACTCATTCTTTAATTTATTAATAACTGATTATCTCTTGGCAACATCATTACTTTTTAGTTAAAATAGACTAGATTCTGATTCTGATAGCCAATATGTCAATAAAGCACAAGTGAGATTAACAGGAACATAGAATGAAGCTTTACTAACTCATTTTTTCATAAATAGAATTTATAAAACCCAGTTTACTCTCTCTAAGACACCTGTTCAAAAACATATCACATTATCCTCCCATTTATGAAAAATTTGGATAAGATATTAAAAATTTGTGATTTTTTAAATTATATTAACATTTACCAGCCACAATCATTCCAATTTTAGTTAACAAGATAACAATAATTTCCCTAATATTAACTTTCACACCAGTCTTACATAAGTTAATGTTAGTTTGATTGACAGCAAAGGAGGTGTGATGGACAGATAGAAATGTTCATTGACTGTCACTAACAAGAGCAAATGAGTTTGCTTCTAGATTACAACATTTAAAACACACACAGATTTCATTCCCACAAACATTTATCTTATCTGCCAATGTGTCTTGCCAATCATTAATCTTATGTGTGTGTGTGTGTGTATATAAATATCTCTTCAAGAGTGGACAAGAGTCACACAATTAATGTTGAAATTTTGTGTTATAACTAGTAAAACATTTAGTGACATGTCACTGTGATGGGCAGCAGATTTTTCTCGTGGAAATGCTGAGTACATAGCAAACTAGATTTGTATCTTGGAAACATCAATCTTTTATTCCACAATATAGTGCAGCATACTAGTGTAACACAGTGAGAAAAAGATTACACAACAATATAGTAACACTTAAACTCATGACGTGTGGATAAACATTACATTTGGTTGGAATTAACATGCCAAAAGTCACAAAATTCCATTATCATACACTCAAGAAAGCAAGTGAGATACATTATTATGCAATTTTCATGTTAAGATGTTAGTTTATAGATAAACAACCACAATTTCATTTCACAAGTAGTTAATCTCACACCAGCTGAAGTTCAAACTTGTGATAAACTTACCTTCCCATTTTTGCAAATGTACATGCTTCTCGTTTACTTAGATCATTCACAAAAAACTCAAGATGAAATGATGAAGGATTTGTTGCCCTTGAAAAATTAAAATATATAGAAATCATAATTTACTACTATCATACATATACATATGTAATAATGAGTTTGATGTTTTCACAAAAAAATAATATATGTAGTCAAATTAAGTAATACATTAAAATTGTAAGATTCTTAAAATTAATATTTAACTAAAATATAGTTATGTATGTTTATATAAAAATTACTAGATTAAAAAAGTGGAATACAGAAAAGCTCACTACTGTACAGAGTTTTATTTGAAAGTTAAGCCATGAAAATAGTTTCTAGTTTTGCTTTGTTTTCATCCAAACATGTATGTAACACATGGATTTTCTGCAGTTAGTGAATGTTGTTTGGTACTTATATTCCTGCGTTTTTAATTTTTTTATTCTACGTATCTATTCATAATAGCAATCACATTTTCATTGAATAGATCCATGTAAATCGCAGGTCAATATCCGTAATAAATCACTGCAGTGTTTCTAGATATAAGTATTAAATCAGATTGATGCACTACTTAGTATGTTCTTATCCTAGTAGCATAATACAGTATTTCAAAGTAATGTCAAACAAGACATAAATTGTAGTGAAGCAGAGTTACCTTTATGTAAAATATATTTGGTAAGTGCAAGGAGATGGTCATATTTTCTGTTTAAGAGTGTAAAAATTAAAGAAAATAAATGAAATCATAGATTTATCGTATTGTTCATCCCCACTCCCTTAACACTCATTATAATGCCTCTGGAAAAATTACATTTTTGGTTTCTTGTGGAATCTCACTCTGTCACTTTTTTTGCATATGTTTTGCTGCTTGTGATTAGCTATCAGAATTCTTTTTTTTTTCTCGACATTTTACTCCGAGGTACATAATCAGCATCAGAGATGTTTATTATACCTAACTCTCCCCTCTCCCTCCCCAAAATAAAGTGAATAAAAACCAATTTATTTTTGTAGAATTCTGTGGGTTCAACTTGCCTCTTCTATAAAACATTTAGTCTTGTTTGTCAGTAGACATGACAGCATTTGATGGATTTTTATTCTGACACCACAATGACATATACATTTCCATTAAATCAGACCAAAAATCTGATCCATTTTTGTGGAAAAAAATTACAAAGTTTTGATTGCCACTAAAAATGTAACATCAGAGACATTAAACCTGAGTACACTGATTCCAGATCTTTATAGGCCTACTATTATAGGGGGCTGAAAAGTGGGAACAGACACAAACTTAGCTTTATATATTAGACATACACACTCATTTTCATATTCTTTAGCTTTGATAATCACACCAAAAAACATTCTACATTTTTTCATAAAATTTAGGATTTCTATGATTTTAAAACTGCCAGCGTAGCAAGAAAGACAATAAAGGAAACATTTTAAATTCCTGTAAGTCATATGACATTTACAACTGTGATATATATATATATATATATATATATATATATATA